AATTATCAATTATATTTAAACAACTAACTCAAAATATCTCTTTAGATTAAATGCAATTAGTAATTTCTAAGTTGGCTCAAGTGATAACTATGAATGTGAATCATAAATGAGAATAAAGGTTCAATTTCCTTTGTTACTAAGGTGATTGACAAGTATATGCAAAATTAATTAAATAGTAAAAGCTCGAATCGGACTTTTAGGTTCAATAGTTCGACCCCAAACCTTAAGTGTTTGGGTGAAGTGGTCGGAGTTTCGAATTCTACTACCGTCGTGAATTCTACCAAAAAGCGACTTGATGGCCACGCGCCTCATTTGAGAGAGTAAAATGCTGACTTGGTCTGAAGACCAATTACTAACAACTAACTCATACTAACTTTTTAATCATTACTCTTGTTTAAAAAAAAAAAAATAAAAGCTCAAATATCTATGTTATAAGAAAAAAAATAACATTAATAAATTATAATTCAGGAGCAACAACCCCCCATCGGAAGATTGCTACCAAACAAGCCCTCTTTCTATTGGTTGCATGTGGGGAGAAATAATTTCCTCCCAAAAAATCCATTCAATTCTGAACTTAAATTCATGCTCATTGTTGACTAACTTCTTCTTGTTGACATCCCTACTAAGTCTAAGCTACAGAATCACCCAAGTGTAGTCTATTCATCACAAAAATCGTTGAAGCCAAGATCAACATACTTACCTAATACGGTTAAACTAATATCATATCATCTACCTAATTTATGGCCCGGTCCCCTTCTTATTTAATATTTATGACAGCCTCCTGTGGCAGATGGATATTAATTTAAGTTGACATACATCAAAGACCTCAAGAGTCAAGATAATGAAACGTGACCCTATACCATTAATAATTTGGGAAAAAGTCATGCTGCTATTTTTTTTTTTTGTTGGTTAAAGGATGGAATTCCTAGTGCTAACAACTAACTTATACTAACTTTTTAATTATTATTTTTGTAAAAAAAAAAAAAAAACAAAGTTCCTAAATAATATGTGTGGGGTTTGAAGCAATTCGTCTAAGAAAATGGTTATAGCCAGGGTTGTTAGTGATTCAAATAGCTTACTAACAATTCAATTAGAGTAGGCAAAGTATGCAAATTAGTCCCGCAATTTGTTGAGAGGTGGTAAAATAACCTCTTAAATCAATTTACACTCAAATTAACCCTAAAACTAATTCACGATGGCAAAAGACCCCTTCTATAATGAATGATGTCATCATTTTGTTAAAACTAACCCTGGGCACATTAGGAGGGCCCGCTTGACATTTCACTCGCTTCAGCTTATCAAATTTATTTATTTTTTAAATAATCAATGAAATTCTTAAATTAACTTTCAAAATACTTTAAATTTACAAAACATACCCTAATCCTTCGCCATTATTTAATTAATGTTTAACATTTACAATTTAAGTTAATACTATAATATAAATTAATTAATAAAATATATTATTCATTAAAAAATATCACCTAAACATATGTATAGTATTAGTTAATTTAATAAAGAGTTTTTTAATATTTATCTTTAGAGCATATATATGTATTTGTTGTATATTTTTATCATTAATTTGTATGAAAAATTATAAAAGTAAACTTTATTTTCATCACAAATATCACATGGAATGATTTAACTGAATGGTTGATAAAAATTAAGTTAACTTTTATTTATATGCAAATTAATGGTAAAAATGTGTAATAAATACACTTTTAATCTGTATCTTAAACACACATATTAAATTTTTTTTAATAATATAAGTTTGTCTAACCTCTCTCCTGACACAAATTAAATCTCATTAATTGCAGTATCTTTAATTAATTTTACATAAATTTTCATAAAAAATTCATACATTTTTATAAATTTTAAGTATAAATATTATATTTTATTTTTATTTTAAATGAATATAATATAAAAATTTATATAAAATTAATTATAAATACTATAATTAATGAGACTGAGCATGTATTTTAAAAGCATAAATTAAAAAATCCCTAATAAAATGTGCATTATAACTCAAAAAAAAAAAAAAAAGGCCTAGTTATTATTGAGGTCCACGAAAATGCCATTAAGTAACTTTGGATGGAAAGTTAACAGAATAATGACATCATCTGTTATAGAAGAGGCTTTTTGCCACCAATAATGAGTTTAAGGGTTAGTTTGTGCATGAGTTGACTTGAGGAGTTATTTTGTCACCACTTGACAAGTTGAGGGGCTAATCTACATGGTTTTGCCAATTAGAGTTTTGACTCTTGTTTATTTAATTGGTAATCATTTTGAAAATCGAGCTTAGCTCGTCGAATTCAATTTTGATTGTAAGAGCTCAATTAATATAACATTTCCTGTTGTGTCTAGTTGGTAGTCATTGTCATTGCAGGTCAACAGGGTTGTCAGTAGATTGCACTCTTAATTAGTGGTCAAAATTTATCATGAGCAGATACTAACTTAATTTTTAACTTCTAATCATTACTTCTATAAAATAATAATATAAAAATAGAATTATATTATGAGTTATTAATTTAAACTCGTGTAAGTTTAAGCTCTTGTATAATATTAGATTTAGTACCCATTTGGTGTAACTGGAGTTTTTAATAAAAACTATGTTGAAAAGAAATTGTTATAGAAG